TCCCCATTATTATTGCCATTAATATCTATCACCAAAAACATTATCCTTATCCTCACCATAGTCACCACCACACCATCATTATCATTACCAGCATCAGGGTAATCATCATCATATTATCCTGACAGTCATTACCACTGGAGAAGCAATGTTAATCTTATCTTGCCCACTGAACCTGACAGCTATGAATGGGTGGTTCCTGAAGACCGCCTCTATGGCCATCAACTTCCAAATGGATCTTGGACAGGTCTGATCGAGTATATAGTGAATGGGGTAAGTGTATCATATCTAAAACATTAGATTGGTTGATCTTATTCTGTACTCTCAAATACCTTCGTGTTATGTGAAATGGAGTCTTTATTCTCGCTTCCTTCTCTTTAATTTCCTTCTTCCTCTCTTCCTTCTCCTTCTTCCTCTCTTTCTTCTTCCTCTCTTCTCTCTTCTCTCTTCTCTCTTCCTTCTTCTTCTCTTCTTCTCCTTCTTCCTCTCTTCCTTCTCCTTCTCCTCTCTTCCCCCTCCTCCTCCTTCTCCATCTCCTTCACCTTAGGAATTATAATATAACGCATAGTTTGTAAAGATAACACAGTAATGTTAGTTTACATCAGGAGTGGGCAATTAATTTTTACAAGGGGCCACATGAAAAACCTGAATTGTGTCAGAGGGCCACACCAACGGTAACTTGAACTCAATTCAGCTCAACTTTCTTCCATTGTAAAATGCACTAAATTATATATTTAGTGCATTATATATTTACTAAATTATATATTTAATAAATATATATATTTACTAAATTATATATCTAATAAATTATATATTTAGTAAATTATATGTTTAGCCTCTCGCGGGCCGGATGCACAAAGGGCCGGATGTGGCCCCCGAGCCGTAGTTTGCCCAGGTCTGGTTTATATATTAATCATATTAATACTATTACGTTCTTTTCATATCAAGTATTTTATAGTGCAAATATTTTTATATCGTCAATTAACAAGATTATTTTTCTTAGATTCATTTACCTTCTTAATAGTGCAAGTGTTTTTATATCGTCAATTAACAAGATTATGTAGTTGTTATTTTTTATTTTCTTAGATTCATTGACCCTTCTTAATAGTGCAAGTGTTTTTATATCGTCAATTAACAAGATTATGTAGTTTTTACTTTAATTTTTTTCTTAGATTCATTGACCCTTCTTAATAGTGCAAGTGTTTTTATATCGTCAATTAACAAGATTATGTAGTTTTTACTTTTTTTATTTTCTTAGATTCATTGACCCTTCTTAATAGTGCAAATGTTTTTATATCGTCAATTAACAAGATTATGTAGTTTTTACTTTATTTTTTTTCTTGGATTCATTGACCCTTCTTAATAGTGCAAATGTTTTTATATCAAGTCAATTAACAAGATTATGTAGTTTTTATTTTTTATTTTCTTAGATTCATTTACCTTCTTGATAGTGCAAGTGCTTTTATATCGTCAATTAACAAGATTATGTAGTTTTTATTTTTTATTTCTTAGATTCATTGACCTTCTTAATAGTGCAAATGTTTTTATATCGTCAATTAAAAGATTATGCAGTTTTTATTTTTTATTTTCTTAGATTCATTTACCTTCTTAATAGTGCGGTTTTATATCGTCAATTAACAAGATTATGTAGTTTTTACTTTTTTTATTTTCTTAGATTCATTGACCCTTCTTAATAGTGCGTGTTTTTATATCAAGTCAATTAACAAGATTATGTAGTTTTTACTTTATTTTTTTCCTGAATATGTAGTTTTTATTTTTTCATTTTCTTGGATTCATTGACCCTTCTCATTTCCTTCAAGAAAGCCGATATCGCCTTGCCGCTGAGCATCACCGGCTGAGGGCTGTTGAGTTTACGGAAATTGTGGTCATGGAGGAGTTCGTCGTGTCCTACAAACGACCAGACTTGCAATCCGATATCACAGGATTCATCAAGCCTTTTGCTCCTATGGTACGGGGAGAAGATCCGATACGGTAGAATATCTTGTTGTTTGTTGTTGTGTTTTGGTGTTGTTTTGTTGTTGTTGTTTGTTGTTGTTGTTTGTTGTTGTTGTTTTTTTTGTTGTTGTTGTTGTTGTTGTTGTTGGTTGTTGTTTTGTTTTTGTTGTTGTTGTTGTTGTTGTTGTTTGTTGTTGTCTGTTGTTTGATTGTTGTTGTTATCATTGTGAATGTTTGGAATGTAGTTGTTTTTTTTTTTCTCCTAATTATTTTGATATTTTGGCTTAATTAATATTTATGCATTCAATCGTGTTCATTTGAGTCTGTGTATTTATTATTACTTGATCAAAAGGCCATTAAAAAAATTAAATGAATAAATAAAACATCATATTTTCAATTAGTACAGACACAGCGATGGTTCCGTCCATAGAAAAAAAAATAAATAAAATAAAGAAAAAAACCCGGAGGAGCCAAATACGTCCTTTATTTATCCTGTCTCTTCCGCTTCTTCTCTCGGAAAATGATAAATAAATAAAAGAAAAATACC